GGCACAAGCCTCTGTAGCAAGGTGGCAGCATCACAGCAAGGGCACTGAGTGAGATGATGGCACAGCACCTGCACCTAGCTGGGTTCCATTCGAGCAAGCACTCAAGATTTTCCTTCCAGACTCCAGGAGAGCTTGCGCTCTCCTCCTCCTCCTCCTCTTCCTTTCCTCCTCCTCTTCCTCCTCTCCTCCTCCTCCTCTTCCTTTTCTCATCCTCTTCTTCCTCTCTCTCTCTTTCTTGCATTGCTGTGGGAAATCAACACAACAAAGCAGACACCAGTCCATCTTTCTCCATGTACAGTTCAGTGACACTGAAGGCCTCCTTCAATGGTGCCACGTGCTCCTCCTCCCCCAGGAACATCAGCTCACAAGTCCCTGAGCTGACGCCGCCCTTTCAGGTCGAGGTGGTTAGGTGATCCCATGTCAATGGTTCATCCAAGGGTATGGAGCTCCAGGCAAACATTCTTCACTAGTCATGCTAGCCTGCTGGTGAGTTTAAAGACGGTCTCAAGGGCTGTGTGCCTGATGAGAGGGTGAAGGGTTAGTGACAATCTTTGGGCAATAGTTTCAAGGGTTCACTCTTCCTTCCTGGCTCCGGAAAATCTATGTTCCATGAGAATTTGAAATTCTGCTTTGTATCCACCCCCACTCCCACTTTATTTGATCAAGGTTTAGAAATTCCTTGATTAAAATGTTTGGCATTGGTAGCGGGGCACTATCCAGTTTTTCTAGTCGCGTGGCCAAGGAGGCAGGTGTCATCGGGGCAGTCAGTCACGCATTCCACTTCATCTTCCTGGTACTGACTCTCAGCCCTCTTCTTCTGCTCCAGGTACAACCACTGCTGAACGTCAGGTGGCTCTTCGCAAATGTTAAGACCCCAGGCACTAAGCAATGAACTAGAAAACAACAGAAGCCCTGAAATTTAGGCCAATGAACTGGGTGCCTTGTGAGACCATGATCTTAACCCTGCAAACCAAGGACCCAAAGCGAGAGGTGTTCGATTGCACATAAGCACCTTAGCAGTTACTTTTAAAATCTTTTTGTAAAACTTATACCACACAGCATTTGTCAGTTCCACTTTTTACAGGTGTGTAACTTGTTGACATCAATTACATTAATTGGCTGGACAACTATTAGCCTTAATTAATGCAGATTTTCCACCATCATGGACAGAAACCTAATGAACTATAGGAAAACATATAGAACTCTCTTGGCCATCAAGCCAGTTGACACACGGTGACCCTGTAACCACTAGTAAACATTGGTTTCCATGCATTTGCCTATTCTTGTCTCTTAATATAAGTGAGGTCGTATAATGTTTGCCCTTCTGTGATTGTCGGGCACTTTTTAAAAAATGTCCAATGTCATGAAAAAGATACGTTAGTTACCAAAATGGGCTCAATCTCTTCGATCGATTGAAAACTTTCTGTCGACTGATGTGAAATTGTTTTTAAGTCCTCAAAGGTAATTTCTATGTATAGAAACCTCCATTCTGGGGTTTAATTTGTTTTTCAATTAATATCCAAATAGTCAAAGTTAAAATTTGATTAGTTGATGCTCTTTATCCTAAAAACTTGTTCATTTTTAATACTGGAAGCTAAAAACTTTCCTAGACTCTGATTATTACCTTAGCAAAGTCATGCTTTTAAGCACAGCTTACAAAAATTCTTTTTCCTATTTATAAATCCAGGTAGGATTGTCAGATAAAATGCAGGATGTTCAGTTAAATTGGAATGATCTGAAATTCAAATTGAACTAGTGGTTTGTATTTCTATTGGTTAAATGTGGCAACCCTAAATTCAGCAGATGTATACCGTTTCTTTTTGAAGAGTTAGTCCCATTTATAAACATTGAAAATGTCTTTAAAATATAAATTTAACAGGTTCATTTTCTTTTTCCCCCAAAACCATTTTATTGGTAGTTAATACAGATATCATATCATTCCATAGTTCAACCACATCAAGCATTATTTTACAATTGCTACCATAAATCAGTTTCAAAACATTCTGTTCCTTCTTGAACTCCTTGACATCAGCTCCCTTTTATCCACCCCACCCCTTCCCCAAATCATCTCCTTTTTCAAATCCTTCGAAAGGCTGAACTCACAAAAAAATAAACCTTTGGGGTTTGAAAGAATCCTGCCAAGTCTCATAAAGCACTACTAACCCAAGATTATTATAAATATTTCAGAACTATATGTCAACTTAGAAGAATTTCAATGAAAAAAAAATCACAAATTGAAATAAACTCCCCCAAACAGATTTCATATTCGAGTTACAAGACCAAGTTAGCACATATGTTACAAGTTCATAAAATACCAAACATGGTCATACCCCTTCTTGAAACACACAGGACACGTATATCATGGCTCTGAGTCTCTAGGTAACATTTCAATAGTTCTTTCCAAAATGTCCTGTGGTTCGAAGATGTCCATTTACCAAGGAAGACAATTACCGCCCAGTTAGTCAGATCTACTTACTAGAGATCAAACCAGCCATGAAGTTCGATTGACTTGCAGACAGCCAGGAAATTCATCTCACTGCGAACTCAAGAACCATCGAGTACTTCCATGTGATACTGAGGGCAATTACCTTAAAATACCTGGGAGTGGTTGGTCAGGATGCTGACTGAATATACGGGGACACCACTATAGCACTTTCCTCTATTTATGTGGCTCCATCAACAACGCATCAGATCCAGATGTCGGTGTTAACTTAATTCTTGTGACCTGGCCTTTTCACAGAATCCTCCTTACTGAAGTCTACAGCTCTCATTGGGTTCACATTTCTTTGGTTTTCCTGACCTACACGTCTTCCTGCCCCAATCTCTAAAACTCACGTTATGTGCCCTGAAATTCCATAATTCATGCACACACTTCCTTTCTCAGGGTCGCCCAACGGCTACAAATATTAAAAATTACATTGGGTTAAATTGTGGGGGCTTCGGCCGTCCTCAAAGTCCAAGGACATAGTCTAGCGAACCAGCAATTGCTCTCCTTGGCAACACAGTGCTAGTATTAAATCATGTACACTAAAACAAACCCCCAAAAATTATGTAATTCAAACTAGTGTGGAACTCCCTTTACACCCATCAGGGCAGTTAGAGAGTTGGTGTCTGGGCGTGGCGACCAGGGACAGCTGGCCTCCAAATCCCAGGGATGGAAGGAAACACAGGGGAATTTCCTGTAGCAGCAGACCCCCCTTGTCCCTGTCTCACTGACCCCCAGCAGAAGGTCATTCACCCCACAAAGTACTCTAGACCACTTCTGAGTTCATCGTAGGTCAGAGAAGCCACATGACAAGCCACCACAGCAGAGACGGCCAGATATGGTACCAGAGGTGAGACTCTGGGAACTTTGTGCAGAGGAGGTGCCTAAATTAGGCTAGGCAACTTCCTCCCCAAGGTGATAAAAACGGGGGTTTCAGGAAGGCTGGTCCATTTCCTTGAGGAATGAAACACGTGCTCTTCAGTTCCTCCGAGAAGTGAAAGTGGCAGCCAAGAATCCCGTCATTCCTGTTATCTGCTGGCTTCATAACTCTGTGGAGTCACGGAGGTGGCGCTCCACGCCCGGCTGTCTTCTCAGGGAATTCTGAACCGAAGCAGCCCCGGGATGTCTCCGCTGCTGCCTCCCCTCCTGCTCCTCCTCCTTTCCACCCAGGACGCCCTGGCCCTGAGAATCTGCTCCTTCAATGTCAGGTCCTTTGGGGAATCCAAGAAGGAAGACCAGAACACCATGGATGTCATTGTGAAGGTGAGCCCCTTTTCCCTGTTAGCCCCTGAGACCCTCTCTATGGCTCGCGGCCTTTAAGAGATTCTGGGGACTTTTAATGGAAGTCACCTCTTAGAGGGGAAGGGAACGGCTGGCATGGCGTTTGGAAAACAGTAACAGCAGGAGTGACCATCACCACCCCACTTCTCTGTGCCTCAGTGCCCTCACCTGTGAATTGGTGCCCATGACAGTATCTTCTCCACAGGAGAATATCCAGCCCGCTCGCCGCTGTGGAGCGGATTCTAGTCCACACTGCATCAGTCAGAGTGGAACTTCCCAGCGGGCTTCCAAGGGCGGGAATCTTTGCAGGAGTAGACTGCCTCATCTTTCTCCCATGGAGAGGCTGGTGGGTTCGAACTGCTGGACTTCCTTTTTTCTTTTCTCCTCCTTTTCCCTTTTCCTTGTCTCTGGCTCTCCAATCGTTGCCTTCCCTTCTCTAATGCTTTCCTTCAGGAGAGAGGGTCAATGTCTGAGGACTCTAGTCACACTATAGTCAGTTGACCTGATTATTCATTTTTGATACTGGAATTGGAAAACTCCTCCAGGACCCTGACAGGGTGGTTATTCCCTTAGAAAGCAGCACAGGTCCTGTGGAGAGAGGCTGAGGTCACAGGGCAGCCCAGTGTTCACCTCCCACTTTCCAGCTGTGGGAGCCCAGGAAGCTCCCTCACCTCTCTGAGACTCCAGAGAGGATTCCTCTCTGTTGAATGGCATACGCTCCCTGTGGAACCTGTTGGCGGAGAGAATGCAAGGCGTGGAAGGCCCCAGCAGGGCCCAACAAGGCAGGTGTTCATTGATGAGAGCCATGGTGTTATTATTATGATTAGACGAGTCAGCACAGTACATGCCAGTCCCAAAATAATGATTACATGGGAGTGGCATGTACTATGATTACTTGGACAGGCCTCTCAGACCTAATGGCCCTGCCCTTGGGACAGTGCCCAGGGCCTCCTAAATGTGGTTGTTTAGCTGTGACAGTTGTGCCAAACCTGTGAGAATTGTGGCTCTGTGGTTCAACAGAGAAGGTGACAGGCAAGTTCGTGGTTTTCCCTCCTTCCCCGTATATGGACCTGTGGAACCTGTGTATCTGCTGGTTTACCCTCATTTCCTTCACTCCGTTCTGGGAGACACCACTAGTCTTAAGCACCGTGTTTTTGTTCGTAGGCAGTTCCATGGTGGGTCGCCTACACTTGGCATCTCCCCTGGGCTTCTGTGCCCTGAAAGGTTGGCCAATGAACACCAGCCAGTCACGTCTAGTACCAAGTATGTCTAAAGTTTCTGTCAAGGCTAGAAAACCCGCCGGTAAACAGAGATCATCCCAAAATACTACTAGAGCCACTCAGCAGCACTTATAGCTGAGCCCAAATTCCAAGCCTATAGGAGTGTTTACAGGGTCCATTGACTGTCTACTGTCAGTCAGATATTTTATATCCTTACTTAATGCCAGATGAGAGCCCCTCATGGTCCAAAATGGTTAACAGTGCGAACCAAAAGATGGGAAGTTTGAATTCACTCAGAGGCACCTCTCAAGAAAGGTGAGACGGTCCAAGTTCTAAAAAACAGCCATGGTATGTTGTAACACAAGGTGTCTTTCAGCCCACCTCCAAACGCATGTGGAAGTCAAAATGTTGCACCCCTCCTCCCACCCTAAGCCCTCCAACCCCAGAAACCCCCGAGTCTCCTTTGGTGTGGACATCAGAGGGGAGCAAATTGGTTGAACTATCTTAGCACTGTCCGGAGATATTGTTCCTAAAACTGCAAAAAGTTTTCATGCTTTATGTACTGGAGAAAAAGGTGTTGGATCCATAACTGGAAAACCGCTCCATTTCAAAGGGTATCTTTCCATTGAATAATTAAGGAATTCATATATTCAGGGCGAGGACTTCTCGCCTCAGAATGGGACAGGTGGAGAAAGTATCAAATATATAGATATATTAGAAGACTTAAAAAACTTTGGGAATACTTTTTAAATCTCAGAACTGGGAGATGGCCATAGAGAAGTAAGAAAAAGTTTTAAGCTGTGAAGCAGGTTCAATGGCTGTTATTGAGAAAGCAGATAGATCCAAGCTAAACCTGTAGCTTTAAGCTGTGCACTGAATATTGGACACTATAGATGACACGTCTTGTACACTAAAGATGGCAAGGAACCACTGACACCGGTTGGGAGGCTCTTGAACTAGATTCGTCAGACAACAAGGACTATGCCACAGAGCTGAAGGGTGATAAGGATTAAACGACTATGATCAAGCACCAGCTGATCTCCAAGAAGCTCAGGAGCTAGCACCCAAAGATAAAGCTCTCCAGGCAGAATTGCTGAAAGGCAAGCAAAAAAGAAAGGCACAGAAAGATAAGGAGAAGGCAGCTTATGCAAAAAATGTTTGCTTAATAAAAAATGAATTTTGCTTCAATATTATGCATTGGCTGTGTAAAGGCAATAAGAAGATTTAAGGGTGTTTGTCTAGTTATCCATAGCATGTTTCTTTTTATGCTTTAGTTTCCCATTGTTTACGGTTTAGGAATACTGATAAGGCTTTTCATAAAACAATGTCTCTCTCTCTCTCACACACACACACACACACACACACGCACACACAGCATCCCTTGAAAACTCTCTGGAACACAGTTCTTTTCCGACACAGATTGAGTTGCCATGAACGGGAATTGTCTCAATAACACATGTTAAATACACATGGCATCAGCCCCGTTTTCCGAAGAAGAAAACGAAGGCTCAGAAAGACAGGGTGACTGGTCCAGGTGTCCATAGCAACCAAAGAGAAGAGGTGGAACCAAGCCCATCATGAAAGTGACGGTGCCGTGCTGTTCCCCTCTTCCACACAGGAGAGAATGCAGCACTACCCAGTAATACTTACTTAAAAATCAGAAAACTGTAGACAACTTATTTGTAGCAGGCTTGACTAGGGCATTTACTTCTATTGATCTTACCATGTTAAAATCCATATTTAAGTTTAGGAAGATATTTGTGCTTCGGGGACTGGGCCCAACTGATTTCAGTGTGGTGCCCCTTCTTAACTCTCTCTTCTGGGTCTTTCATGCACGGCAGATGATGTTAGGAGTAAACACAGGCCTCGTATGTTCTATGGGACACCACAGGCCCTCGATAAAATATGTTGGATTGATGAACCAGAGGTTGGATAAGAGGGATGGATGGATGGGTGGATGGATGCATGGATGGATGGGAAAACCAACTGAAGTTGACTATTCTGAATAGGACCTTGATGCCTTTCTGAAATTGGATCTTGACCCATTGCTGACTGCAATGCTGATTCTAATTAACAGGAAATAGTCCCAGATTTCCCAAGGGAAGTGGAAAGCATAACTGCTGAACACGTACGGATGTTGACCATGCAAGGAAAGGGGTGGCTGGGCTGTAAACAGGAAAGCTGGGGTCTTAACCCCTCCACTCAGGAAAAGGACCATGGGCCAGCGTCCATGCTTGCCCTGCACTGATCCACGACCTTGGCCCCCGAGGAGGGGCAAATCAGGAGGATGTGCTAATTTGCTGGATCAGTGAGTATGGGGCTCAAGAAAGAGCTTTGTAGTTAGATCACTTGGATAAAAATCATCTTCTTTTTTCTTTTCTGGTGAAAATTTACAGAGAAAATTGGGTTTCCATTTCACAATTTCTACTCATATTGCTCCGTGGCACTAATGACATTTTCCACATGTGCCAGCATTCTCTTTCATTGCACTCTGGCTGTTCTGATCCCAGTGTCCCTGCCCCTTATCTTCTCATCTTCACTTTGGAACAGTTGCCCATGCTTTGGTTTCATATAAATATATAACCCCTGCATATTTTCAAAGCTATATATTCAATATTTTTTATAAAACAACCTTATCACATTCAAAGTACTCTCCATTACACTCCATACACCTGCCAAATCTGCAGTTCTATTTTGGAAACATTTTTCAAAACTCATCTGTTTAGATGGCTGACAGCACCTCCCTGGTTTTTGCTTCACCTCTTCTACATCGTAATGTCGCTGTCTTTTTATGTCCCTCTGCATTCGAGGAAACCAAAAGAAGCCGTAAAGAGTGAGGTCAGGTGAGTAAGGTGTGTAGGGCAGGAGAGGCATGCTGGGTTTTTTGCTAAAAACGGGTGCACTGGGATGGCTGCATAAGCAGGTGAATTGTCATGGTGGCAAAAACAGTCCCCCATTCTACACAAATCGTGCCTTTTTTGTTACACACTGTTAAACTATCTTTTCAGAACCTCTAGATAGAAAGCTTGACTAACAGTCTGACCTGGCGGGACAAACTCCAAATGCACTACGAGTCAAAATTGTTGTCATTGGGATGTTGACAGATGTCCAGAATGAGGTCTGTCATCAATCGACATTTCATCCTTTTTGAAACTAGAAAACCACTCTCACACTTGAGTTTTTCCCATAATGCTGTGCTTGTAAGCTGTGTTCAACAACACAGTAGTTTCTGCAGCATTTTTCCTAAACAGGAAATAAAATTTCACAGTCCCATGCTGTTCTCTTAAATCGGCCATCACAAAAAATGAGGTTCGAGTGAAACTGCTTTTACTAAAAAAATTCACTGTGTGCAAAGAGAATCTTCTTAAGTGATGCCACTGGGTGCACTCAGAGTGAGTTGCTCGTTGCTCACCTGGGAAAAATGTGTACTCTGAAGATATTTTGGGTCCCCCTCATATATTAATGGAGCACTATACTAATTGGTAATAGTTGTTATTTTGTGTGTCAATCTGTTATTTCATTAAAAGATCATTTCAGGGATCAAAGTTTAAAGATTATCTCAGGGCAAGAGTTCCAGGTAGTCTTCTAATCTCAATTGGTCTAATAAGTCTGAAGATGTTAAGAATTTGGGTGCTGCTTCACATTGTTCTCCCATCAGGGTCAATCTACTGTGGCCCTGATCAGATGTTTGTTAGTGGTAGCTGGGCACCATCTAGTTCTTCCGGCTTCAAGGTAGATGAGGCCATGACTCATGCAGGCTTTTAGCCCTGCTGAATAGTTTCTTTCCTGCGATTTTTTCCCCCTTATTTCTCTTTAGTTCCTGATGAGTAATTGTATTCTAGATGATTGCTCTAGATCACTTGAATTTGAATCCCAATCTCAACATTCACTTGATGTTCGAAGCACTTAACTCAACTGAGTTTCAGAGTCCCAAAGTATATAATACTATAATAAGAGGACCCCATAATGCAAGGTTATTGTGAGAATTCAATGAGTTTATAATCAGACCTAACAAGTATAAAGCCCAAGCCCTCCCTGTGACTGTATTAGCTACTTTATATAGGACAACTCAATTAACTTATGTGAAGCACTTAGAATCTTGCCTAGTGTATCTTAATGAATACTGGCCACCAGCACCTCTCCCTCAATTCCTTCCTCATCAAACAATTTTCTTAACTTCAACTTCCTAAAATTATACAGGCGTTTGTGCTCATTATGAGCTATTCTGAAAATAACGAAACACAAAAAAGAAGGAAAAAAAAACACCCATTCTCTTGTCATTCAAAGACAATAATTGTTGGCATTTAGAGGACTTTTCTACAGGCATTTTCCTGTGCAAAAATAAATACTCAGCTCTGCACCCACTTTGCAGCATAGAAACTACCCTGCACCATCAGCTTTGCACCGTGTTTGCTATTAGACACACTCCCCATGTTGTTCGTCTTAACACAACAAAAACCATGACTTGTAATGAATGCTTTATAATGCCCTATCCTATGTTGAAAACATACTTCATTCACACTTTCTTATTTGGGGATCCTTAAATCTTCCCATTTTATCTGTATACATCATCGTAAGAATGGTTATTGGGTGCTTCCAATGATGGTGACACTGACAGTGGCCTGGTACCCACTGTACCCTCCAGCACCCCCTCAAGGGAGTGACCCCCAACCAAACCAGATCCACTGTGGTAAATGAGTTAATTCCACCCCTTGGCAAGCCTGCAGCAGAGAGTCCGACTGCTGAGAGGGTTTCTGTCCAGAGCAGACTGCCACATCTTTCTCCCTTGGAGTGGAAGCCACCCATCCTTGGTTGGCAGTTGAGCACTTAACCACTGTGCCACCAGGGGGCCACCAACACCCCTAAGAAAACAGAGGCACAAAGAAGCAGTGGGCATGTCCTCTCCATAAAAGGCTTTTTTCACAGTGGAAAGACTAAACTAAAGCATATACGTACATGCATCTGAAGACCGTTGATACACTCTAACGTGTCTTCCAGAAGGCCTGGCAGTGGCAACTGACTGAGTCAGTAGGCTGGCGTGGTGACCTGGGTGGCTGAAGCCAAGGATCCTGAGGGAAGGATCCAAACACTGTCCCTAGGCAGATGGATCCCAGCCCAGGACAATGTCTTACAGGCTGTGCTGGTGCTGGTGTCTCTTCCCTTTGCCCCACCCCCACCCTCAGCCTCCAGGGAAAGAACTCGAGCCCTTGTTGTGCAAGCAGAAAGCCGGTGACATAATCCCACTGCTCCGTGTCTTTGGTGGCAAGGACAAAATGAACCTCGGGGATACTCTGTGGCATTGAGCCCGCTGCATTCCCACAGACAGAAAAAGCCCAGTGGATCCAAGGATCGTGGGCTTGGTCTACTCCTCAGTCTCCAGGTGGATGCTTACCTGACGGAGCCCCTCCTGGGCTCCTTGTTCAATCATCACACCTCCCAGGAGCTCTTCAAATGCCACCCGCACCTTAGA